GATATCTTGCATTAATTGTAAGAATCCCCTGATTTGTTTCCTTGTACATATATTCACATGTTGCCTATATAAGTGTAAATAAACTGCTGAGCAGGGCAGCTCAAGCTTTCCAGCATTCCCAGTTCTTAGTTCCTGATTTTATTTAGTTCCTGAGTTTATCATTTCTGGTAAAATTAGTGACATGGTATCAGAGCCATAAGCATTTTTTTCAGCAAACCCTAAAATTCAGTTGGGTCTGTTCTTGGAGTTCTTGGTCGACGTCTCAGATTTTTTTTTTTTACACAAACCCTAGGGTTTCCTCTCAGATTCTGTCATCTCAGCACTTAGTTCCAGCCATCTTCTATCTCAGATCAACACATTTCCTTCTCAGATTTATTCTGTTCTCTTGTTATCATGGATAAATTAGAAAACTTGTGTGTTCGATTTGATGGCAAGAACTATGTTACTTGGGCGTTTCAATTTGAAACCTTTCTGAAAGGAAAGGATTTGTGGGCTCACGTGGATGACTCTTCCACACAGAATTCTGCCACTCGGGATGCAACCTGGGAGGTGAAAGATGCTCAAATTCGCAGTTGGATATTAGGGTCACTCGATCCTCATATTATTCTTAACCTACGCCCCCATCGCACAGCTAAAGCCATGTGGGCTTATCTACGACAAGTTTATCATCAGGATAATGCAGCCCATCAATTTCAGTTGGAGTTGGATATTTCTAACTTCCAACAAGGTTCCTTAACTGTTCAGCAATACTATTCCAGTCTTTTAGAGCTTTGGACTGAATATATCGACTTATGTCTCGCTGACGTCCCTGAAACTGCTGTTGAGCCTCTTCGGGATATGTTACAAGCACGGCAGCGCAGGCAGTTCTTGATGAAACTGCGCTCCGAGTTTGAGAACACTCGCTCCTCTTTAATGAATAGGAATCCAGTTCCGTCTCTAGAAGTTTGCCTTCGGGAACTACTTCGTGAAGAGCAGCGTCTACTTACCCAGGCTACCTTGGAACAAGGTCACACTCCTGTTGCTTATGTCACTCAAGCTAAACCTCACCCTAGAGATATGAGTGCCACACAGTGTTATTCTTGCAAGAATTACGGTCACATTGCGCAGCATTGCCCTAATAAGGTATGCAGTTATTGCAAGAAGCTGGGACATATCATCAAAGATTGCTCTATTCGTCCACCCCGCAGGAAAAATACCGCATATCAGGCTACCACAGAAGCTGTGGTCACTTCTCCAAACGTGTCAAATACTCCCGTCTCTACTTCTGCCACTTCTATTACACCTGAAATGGTACAACAGATCATAATTTCTGCTTTCTCAGCATTGGGAATTCAAGGTAACTCTTTACCCTATTCTAATTGGTTTCTAGATTCTGGAGCCTCCAATCATGTGACACATTCAGTACATGGACTCAATAATATTCGCAAATATGATGGTTCTTTATCTATTGAAACTGCCAATGGTAATAAGCTGCCTATTACCGCAATTGGTGATATTTCTCATCGGGTTAAAGATGTATTTGTTTGTCCCAAATTATCTACAAGTCTTATCTCTGTTGGACAACTTCTTGATGATAGATGTGACGTGAAATTCTCTTGTGATGGTTGTCTTGTGCAGGATCAAGTGTCAGGGGAGCTGATAGCGAAGGGGCCTAGGATTGGACGTCTTTTTCCTTTATACTTTCCTAGATATAACTCAGTTTCTGCTTTTGCATGTAATAAAAATTCAGGATCGGTGTGGCATAGGAGACTTGGCCACCCGAATCCTCGAGTTCTTTCTCATTTGTTACGTCTTGGTCTTTTGGGTAATAAAGAGAATATGTTTTCTCATTTTGATTGTGAATCATGTAAACTAGGCAAAAGCAAAGTTCTTACTTTTCCATCTAATGGTAGTCGTGCTTCCCATTGTCTTGAGCTCATTCATAGTGATGTTTGGGGCATTTCTCCTGTTGTGTCTCATTCTCATCACAAATACTTTGTTACCTTTATTGACGATTATAGTCGTTACACTTGGATATATTTTCTTCGATCGAAGGCTGATGTTTTCAGAACATTTCAAAACTTTCTTGCCTTGGTAGAAACTCAATTTTCAACAAGTATCAAAGTTCTTCGTACTGATTCTGGTGGGGAGTATATGTCTCATGAATTTCAAACATTTCTTGAATCTAAGGGAATCTTATCTCAACGATCATGTCCTTATACTCCTCAACAAAATGGTGTTGCGGAACGAAAAAATCGTCATCTTCTTGATATCGTTCGGACCTTACTTATAGAATCCAAAGTTCCTACTCGATTTTGGGTTGAAGCTTTGTCTACAGCAGTTTACCTAATAAACCGACTTCCATCACAGGTCTTGGAGTTTGAATCACCTTATTTCCGGCTCCATAAACGTCATCCAGTGTACACTAATCTTCACCCTTTTGGTTGTGTGTGTTTTGTCCATCTTCCGCCCACAGAACGTCATAAACTTTCTGCCCAGTCTGCTCGTTGTGTGTTTCTAGGATATAGCATTAGTCAAAAGGGATTCATGTGTTTTGATCCGCAAGAAAACAAGTTGCGAGTCTCCAGGAATGTTATATTCTTTGAAAATCAGTATTTCTATCATACTTATTTTACTAATAACTCATCTTCTGTCATATTACCTACGTTTGAAAGTGTCTCTAGTCCTCCTAGCTCCAGGTTCAAAGGAATAGTATATGCTAGACGCCGTCCGCCAGACTCTTTGCCACCTCCTTCCCTGCCATCAGATCCTGTGCCAGAGCTTCCTCTTGAGGATACGAGCACTGTGGAGATTCCTCTTCGTCGCTCTACACGATGTTCAGTACCACCAGATCGGTATGGATTTTCATCCTCTTCTCATGCTCTTGCTGCTACAGTAGCATCTGTTGTTATTCCCTCATGTTATTCACAGGCTGCCAAACATAAATGTTGGCAAGAGGCAATGCAGGAAGAATTGCGGGCTCTGGAAATTAATCAGACATGGGATGTTGTATCCTGTCCTCTTAATATCACTCCTCTTGGATGCAAGTGGGTGTATTCGGTCAAAGTTAGATCTGATGGCAGTATTGATCGTTATAAAGCACGTTTGGTGGCACTCGGTAATCATCAAGAATATGGAGTCAATTATGAGGAAACTTTTGCTCCTGTAGCAAAAATGACCACAATCCGGACTGTTCTTGCTATTGCTGCCTCCCAGAGATGGTCTCTATGTCAAATGGATGTAAAAAATGCATTCCTTCATGGTGATCTCAAAGAAGATATCTTTATGCGTGCACCTCCTGGTCTTTTCTCTAGTCCCACCACAAAGGTTTGTAAGTTACGCCGTTCTTTGTATGGACTAAAACAGTCGCCTCGTGCTTGGTATGAAAAGTTTCGTGCTACACTTCAGCAGTTCTCATTTCAGCCAAGTAAGCATGATACATCCATGTTTCTCCGACATACTTCTGACGGGATTGTAGTGCTTCTCGTCTATGTAGATGATATTGTTATCACTGGAATTGATCACTCAATTATTTCTCAGCTCAAACAACATTTGCATAGTTCTTTTCATATGAAGGATCTTGGAGGACTTTCATACTTTCTGAGGCTAGAGGTTACTGTGGGTTCAACTGGTATTTTTTTTAAATCAAGCCAAGTATGCTCGGGATATCATTGAATCTGCAGGTCTTAGTGGCACTTCTCCAGTTGATACTCCTATGGAGCTAAATGTTAAACTTCGAAAAGATGAAGGAGATCTTCTTCCGGACCCAACAGTATATCGTAGGCTTGTGGGCAGCTTAGTATATCTTACGATTACTCGTCCAGATCTCTCGTTTTCTGTTCAGCAGGTTAGTCAATTTCTTCAGAATCCCCGTCATCTCCATATGCCTGCAGTTCGACGTATTATTCGTTATGTTCTAGGAACCGTTACCAAGGGACTTTATTTTCCAAATGGTGTTTCTCTTGAACTATCTGGCTATAGTGATGCTGATTGGGCTGGCTGTGTAGACACCCGTCGCTCCACCACGGGATGGTGTATGTTTGTAGGAACTGCTCTCGTTTCCTGGAAAAGCAAGAAGCAGGATCGAGTTTCTAAATCATCTACGGAGTCAGAATATCGTGCTATGTCTCTTGCTTGTTCAGAGATCATATGGCTACGAGGTTTACTAGCAGAGCTTGGGTTTTCACCCACCGGGCCTACTCCATTGCATGTTGATAACACTAGTGTTATTCACATTACTGCCAATCCAGTTTATCACGAGCGCACGAAACACATTGAAGTAGACTGTCATTTTATTCGAGAAGCATTTGAATATCAAGTGATTTCCTTGCCCCATGTATCCACAAATCTTCAAGTGGCTGATATCTTCACGAAGGCTCTTCCTCGTCAGCGGCATCAGTTCCTTGGTGGCAAATTGATGCTTGTTGATCAACCAGCATCAATTTGAGGGGGGATGTCAATCAGAGAATCAGTAGAAAAATATCTTTGTATCTTATTGAATCTTTGTAATTATAGGAAGATTTTATTTGGCTTTGAGTGCAGGGATATCTTGCATTAATTGTAAGAATCCCCTGATTTGTTTCCTTGTACATATATTCACATGTTGCCTATATAAGTGTAAATAAACTGCTGAGCAGGGCAGCTCAAGCTTTCCAGCATTCCCAGTTCTTAGTTCCTGATTTTATTTAGTTCCTGAGTTTATCATTTCTGGTAAAATTAGTGACAAATATTAAGTATTTAATCTTGTACAATAAGAGCGGGGAGAGGGGAAAAGAGAGTTGGGCTGGAATTCAGTTAGGCTAGGTTTGGGAGAGAAAGACTGCTCTAAGTGTCTCACCTGTATTTTACTTTTCTGTTCATCTATTTTCAGTCTCAATATACAACAATTTACCATCAGATTTAGGAGTGTATCACAAAATTTCCCTTCTTCATAACATTTTCTATAATCCAAGCATACCCTTATATTGTCATCCTGAAGTCTTATTCAATTTTTTCTTTCTAACCTTTTTGTTCATTGACAGACGGCTCAACAACAACAGCCTCACCGGTTCCATACCGATGTCACTAACTAGTATCTCAGCTCTCCAAATCTTGTGAGTATATTTATGCGCTCCGCTTTGCCTCTGTTTCCCTCCCAAGCACTTAAGTTCTCACCCACAGCATGGTTGTATTTTCAGGGACCTGTCAAACAATCATCTTTCTGGTCGAGTTCCAGACAATGGCTCTTTTTCTCGATTCACTCCCATTAGGTATTTTACTAATTGGTCTAGCTGACATTTCTTTGAGTGCTTTCATAACTTATATATACATAATCTATGAATATGTACAGTTTTGCCAATAATTTGGCTCTTTGTGGGCCGGTTACTGGACATCCTTGCCCTGGATCTCCTCCATTTTCTCCACCTCCACCATTTATTTCATCAACCCCCATTCCTAAACCAGGTAATTGCTATAATTGTTGTTAGCAGTATGAATTATTTATTTATATATGATTTTGTATTCTTCGTTGAAAATGTATAAAATCAACCCATTTAAGTTCTATGTGCTGTATGAAACCTAAGATAGAAATAGTATAACTGGAGCTATAGCTGGAGCAGTAGCTGCAGGTGCTGCTTTACTCTTTGCTGTCCCTGCCTTTGCTTTTGTATGGTGGCGTCGCAGAAAGTCACAAGAGTTTTTCGTCGATGTTCCGGGTTAGTTATTACTTGAATACACATGATTATTTTTCTCACTTTTTGAAGATGTGAAACCATTTGAATGCAAAAGGTTAAGCTGAAGAACGATTCCAATTCTTTGAAGGAAAGAACTGTGTTGTGTATTTGTTTCTTTCATTTCTAAATAAATCTCCAACATATAATATCACCTTCTTAATCACGTGCCAAAACCTAACATGAAATTTATTTTCGAAAAAGGGATTATTTTTAATTAATATTCTTCAATGGGAGTTTCCAACTGAGAACCTTAGACTGCTTCATTACCATGTTAAAATTTACGATTTTTTTGATCTAAAAGGAAAAGCTCAAGCTGGTGATCTGTTACAATTCATATTATTTGAATGTTATTTTTCAGCACATTTTATGGCTGCTAATACTTTCCTGCTTGCCATTAGAAGGTCGAAAGAAAACTTTCCACATGTAAACCTTCCATTTTTGTATGAATTTGGCAGCGGAAGAAGACCCAGAAGTTCACTTGGGACAGCTCAAGAAGTTTTCTCTGAGAGAGCTACAAGTTGCTACCGATAGCTTTAGCAACAAGAATATTCTCGGCAGAGGTGGGTTTGGTAAGGTATACAAGGGACGGCTTGCAGATGGTTCGTTGGTTGCTGTAAAACGGTTAAAAGAGGAGCACACACCTGGTGGTGAGCTTCAATTCCAAACAGAAGTCGAGATGATTAGCATGGCAGTTCACAGGAATCTCCTTCGCTTGCTTGGCTTTTGTATGACACCCACTGAACGCCTTCTTGTTTACCCTTATATGGCCAATGGAAGTGTTGCATCGTGTTTGCGAGGTATAATGCGCCCGCTGACTTTATTCTCTTTTTTAGTTTTTTCCTTTAGTTACTTGATTCTCATTTTATATAAAAAATTATCGGGCTAATTTTTTAAGAGCGAGGTGGATTGCTTTCTTGTACACTTTAGTTTATGGCTGACATTTTGGGTTGGGTTTGTTTGTTCCTTCTTTCCGGTTTTGTTTTGTTACTTGTTCCTCTTTGCTTGGAAAAACACGATCATTTGAAAAATGTGATCTAATTTGCATGTTTTATCCTTCGTTTGTTTTTAGTTGCAACATTGATAAAGCAAAATGGATCACTAAACTATCTGCACATCTTTGTTAAGAAGCAGCAGCCAGTCCATGCAATTTTCGACGTGATTTTCATCATGGGTCATCCAGAAACAGTCTCTCTGTGCTTTAGTACAGAGGTAAGGCTGCGTACATTTGACCCCCCACCTAACCGTAGGTGGGAGCCTGTGTGGCACTGGGGTAATGTTGTTATTTGTTGTGTTATTGATAATTTCACTATTTACATGCTCTAGTTTGACTACATTTTATTTATTAATGTATGAGAATTATTATTTTGAAAAATATTGTGGAATTGACCTCACTAAAATTTCATAATATGATTTTCAATTTGTTTACTAATAGAGAATTAAATATAGTGACGACCAAAGTTGTGTGTTGTCAAGAGCGAAAGTGGGAATGTTGCTATTAAAAAAGAACGGGGGGAAGTATATGGCCTAATCTTTTCAATCTTTTTGTTCTGGTACTATGGCTGGAACCTTTTGTTCTGCTGTCTGAGCATTTCTGGTAAAATATGGTCTGAATGTTTACGCTCTTGTCTAATTTAACTGTCTAAAATGTCAAATATAAGATTTTCTTGTGTTCTAGTCTGGTACTCTGGTTCATTGCCAATAATAATATGTAATTGGTTCAAATATAAGTTGAAGAGTTAGCACCCTAGTTTGGTTCGGGATGGCTTTATTTTTTCCCTCGTTTTATTGGATTTTGATGGCGTTATGTTTATTTGGTTTGGTTTTAATTGTTTTCAGTTTGGTTCAGATGTATACCGTTGGGAAAACACTAAACTAAATCCAAATTTAGAGTTTGGTTTTTGTTCGAGTTAATTGGTTTGGTCAGACCAAAGTGAAATGCCACCCCTAATTTAGTTTGATTATTTTAGTAGGGAAGACAAATTGACTCCTAAACCACATGCTTATCATTCACTTATCGGAGTTTGTCATTGATTCTGGTAGAACGACCACCGGATGAACTGCCACTCGATTGGGCTACAAGGAAGCGCATTGCCTTGGGATCTGCAAGGGGATTGTCATATTTACATGACCATTGTGATCCAAAGATAATCCATCGTGATGTAAAAGCTGCAAACATACTATTGGATGAAGAGTTTGAGGCAGTTGTAGGAGACTTTGGGTTGGCTAAACTTATGGATTATAAGGATACTCATGTGACAACAACTGTGCGTGGCACAATCGGTCATATAGCGCCAGAGTACCTATCCACTGGGAAGTCTTCAGAAAAAACTGATGTGTTTGGTTATGGTATCATGCTTCTAGAGCTTATCACTGGACAAGGAGCCGTTGATCTTGCCCATCTAGCAAACGACGATGATGTCATGTTGCTTAACTGGGTATGCACGCCTTCTTTTATACACCTTATCTTATAACTATGGAACATGACTGATCTTATATCCAGTTCAATACTACGTATCTTTGTACAAATTTGCTAGTTTATGAATATGTGCTATGCAATGAACATTTAGTTGTAGTTTAGCAGACCTTAAGTGGTTAAAGTTCATCAATCTGATTTGTTTAAGCCCTGGCTGAATATGCTATATAAAGTTTCCTTCATATTTCTTAAATAAAATAGATAAATAATATCTAAAATGAAGGTGTAAGTGTCATTTGCTTTAATTTCAACCATTTCAGTAAAGAAAAGTAACACATACATTACTCCCCCCCCCCCCCCCCCCCCCCTCATCATAAGCTGTTTCAGCGATCATAGAGCAATAATTAATGTTTGGTTAAAAAACTGGCACATTATCTGAAAGGATGTTCACCAAACGAGCTTAAGATCTGTTTTAGGTGTAGTTTGGTAAGAGTAATGCTGTAATGTAATGAAATTGTAATAAAATGCATGCTATCACGACCTACCATAGTACACCTAATAGTGTAAATTCTCATTGCGCATGCATTTATCACATGACATAACTGTTTACCAAACTATGCCACTTTAGATATAACATGAGAAAGTGGTTATTGCATGGATAATGAGTTAATGACTATTGCCAGTCAATTCGTTTATACGTGCATCATTCATGTCAATTACAGTTTCGCATTGCGTAAAAAGATGACGATTTATTATATCTCTCTCTGTCTTTCTGTTCAGGTGGAAAAACTGCTCAAGGAGAAGAAACTGGAAGTGCTGGTTGATCCGGATCTGGCGAACAAGTATGTAGAAGGAGAGGTGGAGCAGCTGATCCAGGTTGCATTGCTATGCACGCGAAGCAGCCCAATGGATCGGCCCAAGATGTCAGATGTGGTGAGGATGTTGGAAGGTGATGGGTTGGCCGAGAGATGGGATGAGTGGCAGAAGGTGGAAGTTCTTCGGCAGGGGGTAGGACAAGCAGTACATCCTCTCTCCACTTCTGGCTGGACTGTAGACTCTACACAAAATTTACATGCCGTTGAACTGTCTGGTCCTAGGTGACCTTCAAGGCTCCTGTTAACCTTGATTTTTTTTTAGAATCTTGTTATTTTTGTTTAGGCGTTAAAGAATGGGCAATTAGCATGTTTTTTTTCCTTCTTGCAAGCACTTTCTCATCAAAGTGTATTCTTTGTGTGTGTCAGTGTATGTAACAGCTATGTGCTAATAAACAAGGAAATATAACGTTTGAAATTGGTGATAAATTAGGCCATTATATATGTATATTAGGTATCATATGTAATTCATAACTAGTATTCATATTCCATATTTTAAAATCCATGACCGCTAACAGGGTTGTCCATGCACTTGCAAGGGAAGCCTATTCAGGGGCTGATGGTACTTAGCTGATGGTACTTTGGGTTGATGATTATTAATAAAGTTATTTTTTTGCCAAAAAATAAATAAATAAATCCATGACCGCATGATCTGTACTAGGATCCATGCACCAAAACTTTTGATTTTAATGCGTATTTTGTCTAGTAGTTTAGATTTAAGTAATTTAACTTTCTTTGTATAGATACTAATTATTGGTAGATTCTATGGTACCATACTTTTGTCCACTTGGACCAATCAGAATGTTGCAGTTGAATTATTTAAATCTAAATTAAAAATGGTTTAATGATTTGGACCAATCATGTTAGTGGTAGGTACGGTACCCCATTTTTTAAATGGGTACCGGAGTTGTCAGTTGTCACCCTAATTATTTTAGACTTTTATTTGTGATTTGTGATCATTACCGTTATTATGAGACACTTGTTCCTCCGATTATTTTGTGGTTCAGAAAATTGAATTTCTTTTTTTCCTTTTAATGTGATTTTTGATGAAAATTAGTCTCTCTATGAATTGATTGGTTTTTAACTTTTTATGGGATTTCTTCTTATCAACATGAGGTATATGAGACTCTTACTCTATAGCGCAATCCGTACCTAGTATTCCTTTATTTAAGTATGTAATATATATTTATCCTTGTTTCAAATATAGTTACATGAAAAATAGTACATATAAAAAAACATTTAAAAGTATGTCTTTATATTGTTTATATTTATTTGTGTACATATATAAATTTATACTCATACAAAGTTGCTTACGCATATAAAAGTATGCATTTATACCAAAAATTATGAGTGTTACAAATATAAAAAAATATTATTAGTATATTAAAAAAAAACAGTTAACATTGAAAGTGAAATAAATAAGTAGAGGTAAATGTATGTATATACACGTAAACTAGAAAATATACCTCTAGTGAAGTTTGACTAGTATATACCCCATTATAATATAAAACAAGAAATGATAATCTTTTCACAAGACTACGTACAAAACCATTTAATAAATACAATAATATATACTACAATATGTACGCACCTAACTTCTAGATGCCAATGAAATAACATGACATTTGGAGAGCATGCACACTATACAGAGACACTACTCCATGCATAGGCTAATAGACAAACAAATTGGGACACTCGTACAAGGTCCAATATATATGAAAGAACAAATTAAAACAATGCATAGCTAGTATTTATACATATATGTCTAATGATCATAACATTAACTAGCGGAGGAAAGAAGAGTTAGCATAAAATAAGCATCACACCCGGTGCAGTGAACAAATAGATCATCACTAAAATACATGAGAGAAAGAGAAAAAAGAGGGAGGGAGCCGTGAGGAAGAAAAGGAGAAAGAAAATATTATCAAAAGTTTAAGGTTTGTGTTCATTCCTTTTTCTAAAGTATATGGTTAATTGTATCCTAACATTTTATTTTTTATATCTTATGATTGTTTATCTTCGTATTTGTACTGCTTAACTATATTATGGTGTTTTGTTATGGTATTTCTTATTCCTTATGCTATATTTAAATATTGATATAATATTTCTTTCAAAAAGATATTATTGTTGTAAAATCAACAATTTTGACAAGTGTGAATTGTTCATCCTTATCACTAGGACACCAAGCTTTTCTCCCGATTCTTGTAATAATTTTTGTATTGTAACTAGTTAGAACAAATGACTCAATTTGTTATTGTCACCAAATATGTAGATTCATCTTTTGGATGACTAATCATCAAGCTCATCTACTATAAATAGGAGCTTGATGAAGTCTTGTAAATTCATTCAGAAAATCTTGATATTAAGAAGTAATTTAGAGCTTATTATTAATATATCTATCTCATAAATATAGTCTTCATTTTCTTGATTTCAGAACAAGTTATCAGCACTAATGTGTTCAAAACTCTCGAGAAATCATCTTCTCCTACAGGTATAAAAATTAATATATATACGTACGTTGTCTATGGTGAACATATTAACAAAATTACGTATTTTGTTTTTAAATAATTAAAAAATATACTCCGTAATAAAACAAAAGTTGCCGACTGTGTACGTAATGCAGTCAGCTTAAGACGGCAGATTTGGGGGTTTCCATTGATAGTCACGGCCCACGGGAGAAGTGGAGAACTAGAGAAGTTTCATGTATTTTTACTAAAGTTGATTAAATAAACAAATACGTAGTACGAAGTATCAATCTGTTTAAATCGATGGTTTAGAACACTAAATAGTAAATAAAGCAACATGCATCCATTTGTTTTGAATAAAGTATACAAAAGGGAGTTATACGATGCTAGCTCGTTTAGTTTGTTTTTGATCGAGTTATCCCAATGATTAAATAAAATTCATGTAAATAAAAGTAGATATTTAAACAGATATTTAAAAATTCATTTAAATTAGTTATCAACTACCGTAGCAACTATAAATAGCTTTTCTACGTTTTTTTCTTATCACCAGAACTCCAGAAGTTAAAATAAGTATAAATACGAAGTAAGTACATACACAAACAACTATTAAGATTGATTAGTAACATCACAAAACGAAAATAACCATTCTAACTAATATACTTTATATTAATAATTTCTTGCAGTCCGATGACAAACATTAGCAAAAGAGAATTCGACGTTCTTGATCTGTTTGGTCAAAAATATTTGGAATGGAAAGTGGATGCTTTAGCACATTTGAAGGGCAACAGTTTAGAAGAAACAATTGAGGCTAACAATCAATCATCTTCCAAGGATAAAGCTAAAGCTATAATTTTCCTGCATCATCATCTCTACGAATGTCTCAAATCTGAATATCTTTTGGTAGATGATACAAAAGTATTATGGGATAATTTACTGGAGAGGTATGACCACCAACAAAAGGTTCTTTTACCTAAAGCTCAGTACGACTGGGTCAATCTAAGATTCCAAGATTTTAAATCTATAAGTGATCATAATTCTGCAATGTTCCAAATAAGATCTAAGTTAAAGTTAAGCGGACAAAAAATCACTGATGTTGAGATGTTGGAGAAAACCTTTTATACTATGCATTTATCTAGTATGCTCCTCCAACATCAATATAGAGAAAAAGGTTTTCAAAAATACTCTGACCTTATATCATTTTTACTCGTTGCTGAGCAAAATAATGACATGTTAATGAAAAGCCACAATTTCAGACCCAGTGGTTCTAGCCCTTTTGTTTATGATCTATCTCGTCATAATTTAGCCACTGAATCAAATACAACACACAGTGGCATTCGAAGGCATTTCAAACGTGGGAATTTTAGTGGTCCTAATAACAAGCCACATCAAGAATATAAACGGGTCGAAAGATGTAATTACAAGGGCCAAGGGAAAACAAAAAATCCATCAAATAAATCACCCTCCGAAATTCTCGAGAAAGACGACTTGTTATAAGTGTGGCATGACAGGGCACTGGGCAAATAAATGTCGTACTACAAAGTATTTGGTGGAACTATTCCAAGCTTCTATGAATCTGAATAAAGACAAAAATGTAGAAGCTAATTTTGTCAAAGATGCAACTCCGCCTCTTCCCAAATTTGATGTGTCTGATTTCATCATGGATGATGCCATTATGGGCGACGCTTTTGTCATATACCAAAATGTTACAAAATAAAATATATGTACTTTTTCTTCCCTTTTTATTTTGTTTTAAATAAATGTGTGCAATATATGTACTTTTATGTTAAATGATATGCATAATTTGTGATCAAGTTTATGTTTATTTACATATATTGAAGATATGGATCACTCAAGTGATAAAGAATTATGTTTGATAGATAATGCCACAATGCACACCATTTTGAGAAATAAAATATATTTCTCTCAAATGACGTTAGTTGAATCTAAAGTCAATACTGTATCAGGTGTTGCAAAGCTCATTGAAGGCTCTAGAACAATATATGTGATGCTCCCTAACGGGACAGAAATATTATAAATGACGCTTCATACTCCAACAAATCATAGAGAAATTTATTAAGCTTTAAAGATATGCGCCAAAATGCTTATCACATAGAAACCATGAATGAAAACCAAAAGTGATATCTTTGTCTTATGACAACTAAATTTGGCACTAAATATATTTGTGAAAAAAAGTCAACATATTCCTCAGGACTATATTTCACATATATATTAGTTCATTTGAAATAAATTTGGTTTTTAACACTAAGTTAGATTATCAGAAATCATTCATGTTGTGGCATGACCAATTAGGTCACCCAGGTCAAGTAATGATGCATAAAATCATTAAGACTTCACTTGGACACCCATTAAAGAATATAAGGAATCCATTATCAAGTGATTTTCCTTGTAAGGCCTGTTCTCTTGGCAAAATGATCATCAAGTCTTCTATGAACAAAATTGCAATTGAATCACCTCCATTTTTAGAAAGTACTCAAGGAGACATTTGTGTGCCCATTGCCCCACCATGTGGACCATTTCGATATTTTATGGTGTTGATTGATGCTTCAACACGTTGGTCACATGTTAGTCTTTTATCGACTAGAAATAATTTAGCATTTGCTAAACTCCTTTCTCAAATTATAAGATTAAAAGCTCATTTTCCGGATCACTCTATATAGAGAATCCGACTTGATAATGCAGGAGTTTACATCTCAAACATTTAACGACTATTGTATGTTGAATGGGAATGATGTGGAGCACCCTCTTGCTTATGTCCATACACAAAATAGTCTTGTTGAATCTTTAATTAAACGATTACAATTAATCGCCAAACCATTATTAATGAAGTGTAATTTACCTTCATCTGTTTGGGGACATGCTATTTTACATGCAGCAAATTTAATTAGACTTATGCCAACTGCATATCATGAATATTCCCCAATGCAATTAGTAACTGAACAAGAGCCAAACCTAGAACCCATAAAAATATTTAGTAACTGAAAAATCTCTTGCAAATGGTTCTTCTATACGCAAAAGGATCGGTACACCACTAGGATCAAAAGATATAAAACCAAGAAAAACTAAAAGACATGAATTAATCTGTGATGCAAAAAATGTTCATCCTTCTGAACAAGAAAGTGAACGAATTAAAAACTACTGGCATAGAAAATGATATTGACAGAACAAACATCTCAAATGATGATCCAACTTCCTTGAATGAGGAAGATATTCCAGACAATGATAGAAAAGTTGATAATTATGAGTATGAAATTTTCAATAAACTACGCTTCTACTGAAATACGATTTAATCGAAAAGATGTTTATATTAAAAAATAATAATAAGATATATATTTGTCTATGTCGTTGTCACAAAGGTAATGAATGAAAACATTGACAATGAGCCAACATCAATTGAAGAATGTCGCAAAAGACACGGTTGGCCGAAATGGAATAAAGCAATTCAGGCAGAATTAAAATCGCTTGAAAAACGTGATGCTCTTGGACTGATAGCTCATACACCAAAAGGCGTAAAACCAGTAGGTTTTACATGGGGTTTTGTGCGCAAACACAATGAAAATAATGAAATTGTAATATAAAAAGCCTGACTTGTTGCCCAAGGTTTTTCTCAAATGCTGGGAATTGATTATGGAGAAACTTTTTCTCTAGTAGTTGATGCAACTACATTAAGGTTTCTCATTGGCATGTCTGTTTTTGAAAGGCTGCAAATGCATGTGCCTAATGGATGTAGTGACTGCATATTTATACGGTTCACTCGGTACAGACATTTACATGAAAGTTCCCGGTGGATTCAAAATGCCCGAATTCGAAGCTTACAGCTCAAAACCTCGAGACATGTTTTCCATTAAATTACAAAATTCATTGTATGGACTAAAACAATCTGGACGAATGTGGTATAATCGTCTCAGTGGATATCTTCTCAAAGAAGGATATTAGAATGATCCAATTAGTCCACGTGTTTTCATTCGGCGATCATATTCAGGGTTCGCCATAATTGCAGTATATGTTGATGACTTAAACATTATTGGAACTCTTGATGAAATTGAAAATACTGCAAAATATCTTATGAAAGAATTTTAAATGAAAGATCTCGGGAGAACCAAATTTTGTCTCGGACTTCAAATTGAGCATTTGAAGAATGAAATTTTCATCCATCAATCTAATTACACCGAGACAGTCTTGAAGCAGTTCTACATGGACAAAGCTCATCCATTGACCTCACCAATGGTGGTTCGTTCTCTCAACATATACACGATGATCCATTCCATCCCCGAGAAGACAACAAAGAAATATTCGGTCCCGAAGTCCCATATCTAAGTGTTATTGGAGCTTTAATGTATTTAGCTAATAATACTAGACCAGATATTGCATTTTCCGTAAATTTACTAGCTAAGTACAGATCATGTCCAACAAGGTGTCATTGGAACGGGGTCAAGCACACATTCCGTTATCTTCGTGGTACAGTTGATCTCGGCCTGTCTACCACAAAGACGAAAAAGTCACTCTAAGCAGATATGCAGATGCTTGATACTTATAAGATCCTCAAAAGGCGAAATCACAAACTGGGTACGTATTTACTTATGGTAACACCGCAATCTCACGGAGATATATGAAGCAAACATTGAAGGCTACATTATCATATCATTCCGAGTTAATTGCACTATATGAAACCGGAAGAAAATGTGTGTGACCGGGATCTATGATTGAACACATCCCTAACGAATGTGGTATGAAGCCTATTACTTATCACCCTACTGTGATCTACGAAGACAACACTGAATGCATAATTCAAATTAAAGAAGGTTACATCAAAGGAGATAGAACGAAGCACATATCACCAACATTCTTCTCTTATCACCAAATCACGTCCAGTGAAAATCCGGCAGATCTCTTCACCAAATCTCTACCGCCAAAGAAGTTCATAGAACTTGAACAAAAAATCGACATGCGTCATCTTCAAAATTTATGTTAATTTCAGAGAGAGTATTTGAATGCACTACACTCTTTTTTCCATCATCGGGTTTTTACCCGCTGGGTTTTTCCAAGAAACAATACATCTAAATACAACGACATTATAAGACCATCAAATTTACAACGTATTTTCACACTCTTTTTCACAATAAGTTTTTAAAATAACAAATACATATTCAGAGATGAACATTCAAGGGGGAGTGTTGTAAGACCATCAAATTGACAAGCGTGAATTGTTCATCCTTGTCATTAGGACACCAAGCTTTTCCCGATTCTTGTAACCTAGTTAGAACAGATGACTCAATTTGTTATTACCACCAAATCTGTAGATTTTCCTTTAGATGACTAATCATCAAGCTCAACTACTATAAATAGGAACTTGATGAAGCCTTGTAAACATTCAGAAAATCTTGATATTAAGAAGAAGAAGAAGTGATTTAGAGCTTATTATTAATATATGTATCTCATAAATATAGTTTTCATCTACATCACTTCACAACAATTATATGGATTATTATTAGTTGTGTACATATAATTAGAAGCAACTCAAACGCTTTAAAAGGAATATAAATTTTAATCATATTCTTGTACGTGAGAAGATAATTTCTTGTTTTATGATTTTATTAATCAAATTAAATTTGATTATGTATAATAGCAGAAACTAGTTTAAAGCCGGAGGCAATGCCCTGGTAGCGCGTTAATTTGAAATGAATTAAAATGAAAAGTACTAATAGATACTGTGAATTATTCATATATAGGATCCAAAATTGAATATAATGCATTTTTACTATGGTCTGGTCTAGGGGTGTAGTTAGGGGCAACCCTGGCTCCGGCCCACCCCAAATTTTAAAAATGTCTATATTTTTTGTATAAAAAATTTCGTGTAATTTTTTTTCCGATCCATTGCTCTAGCTCTACCTCTGATATGATCTAATGACAACCAATAATAAATTTGTATTTGTTAAATGACTATATGTAAAATCATCCATCAGCATATATTATATATTAATACTCTTTAGTCTATACCAGGTTTTTTTATTGCGGTACCATTGCAATTGTGGTTACTGCGGTTGCGGCTATCGCAGCCTTTGCAATGCTAACGCGGTGTAATTTAATTTTATGTTCAAATGAAATAAGAAAAAAGAATAGTGTTCATGCTTGATACGATCCAATATAACCCCGTTGCGGTCATGTTGGATCAATAATTAGAAACAATTATCCCCATATGACTAAAACTCTTTCACTTTCCCAATCTATGACCTAACTAGTTTCCCCCCAAAATAATACCTAAATTCATATTATTTAATTAAAATTCGTAAATATTAAATAAATAAATTTTTTATGGACAAATATACCCTTTACACTACACCTATAAAACTCTAACCTCCCTACTCTTTTTCTACAAACCCTAGCAACCAGCCACACACACACACCCGCTTCATGCGCTCACCGCACACCCCTGCCCCCCCGGACCACTGCACGCACCCACAGCCGTCATCCACCAGTCCATCTCTAGTCACAGGTTTATCTGACCACCCCAGTTTCACGCTTGTTCGCCGCAGCCGCCGCCACCAGCCGACCACGCCAATATGACACCGCCATCCCTACACCTGCTCGCCAACATCGTCCCAAGCCTTGAGCGTTGCTGTCCTTGTCGCCGTCCAGCCGCACGGTTGCACTCGATCCAACTCGCTGCCGC